GCAAAGCTTTGCCATGCCTAAGCAAACTTTTGAAAGCACAGAAATTTAGTATTGTGCTTCTGAGGTCACCACCCTCTTCAAAATATGTCTGCTTGTTAGTAATGAAAGGGCTGGAAACAGCACATACAAATTCCTGTCACATTCAACATCTCTGAAGGAACTCAGCTATCCTAGAAATGACAAAAAGGTGCTGTTCCATCATATGACACTTGGCTAAGTGCATGTTTAAGTAATGTATGGGACAAACCCTTTTCTAATGTGGCTTTCTAGATAGAGAAGGTCAGGCCTAACAGTGCTGCTGGCAAACCAAAGATTTAACTGCAGTCATGAGTGTCATAGGATGGGGAGATCATAGCATGTACCCCTATTACTCTAAGTGGCACCAGAAGAAGAGGAGAGAATTGTGAAGGTCAAGTGGCAGGATCTTTATGGCCACCAATTAACAGCCAAAGTAAATACAACTAGTCACTTTTTTCCTCCCTCTCCCCCCTCTTTAATAAACTTCCCAAACCCTGAAGATCATCCATTTAAGCCCTAACTTTAGCATATTTTATTTTTGCCAGCTTTTCCCTTCACAGACCTTATAGCTATTTTCTTGGGGAAAGGCACAACAGAGATGAAGGGAACATTCAACCCTACTTGGTCAAAATGATCTAAGAGTGAAAGGGGAAGGGGAGGAAGGAATCTGAATGTTCATCAGTCCAATAGTGGACATCGAGTGACTGAAGCAATATCACTTCCTGGGCTAATCAAGGCATCCCCAATGCCCTCCCAGTGAGTAAGACTGGATCTGAACTGCCACTACCCCACCAGGCCAGCTTTCACCTTCACGTGGGCACTGCATCTCATTCACCTTCCCATCTGTCTCACTGCTCCCTCCTTCTCTTTTTGCCCTTCCCATCCTTACGTCTGTCGTGTGCTTCTCTCACATCATACTCATTTTGGTCTGCTCCTCTTCCTCCAGCTGGTACTAATAAAGAGGTACAGGTATGATCCTCAGTTGACTTCTAGTAGCATGAGAGCAAGACAGAGTGCCCTCAACAGTAACAAATAACTACAGCCAACCGGGAGTGTCTGAGCATGATTGATAGAGAGACATTTTTCTATGCCTTGCAGATTAACACAAATTGGGGAATTTACTTGCAACAGGGGGCATACAAATTTGCCTAGGTTCCTTCCCATTTCACCCAGAAGACCAGAATATTTAATCTCTGTGCAGAACTGTTTGTATTAAACTAAACTGGATAGGTGAAGAGATGGCATACAACTGGCAGATAAGAATTAGAACAAATGAGATTGTGTTGAGCATAAAGAGTCTGCAATCAACATGAGCAGTACCGGAATTTGTGAATTGGTTTTCCATTCAGTCATTATAGACTTCTCTTTGCTGGTAGCCTTTTTAACTTTTGAACTGTAACCTGAAGTTTAAGAGCGGCTTAGGTAACAGTCTCCAACAAAAGGAACATTACAAACAGGTTAGCATGCATTTAAAAGTTAATTAAAAAGCATTGTCCTTTGCTTCTGGCTCCTGTAAATGTCACAAGAAGAATTTAATGGTTAAAAATTGTACACACTTTGGGTCCAAACCTGCATGGCTTGCTGCTGATTCCCCTCTCTCCCAAACAAAGTCTATGAGAATTCTATTCACACAGAACTGCGAGTTTGAGCCTTAACCATACCATTCAGTAGCAAAAGGGGCTAGGAATTATTGCAACAAAACATACCTTTCTAGCATTGGAGGATATTGTGTTAGCCATTAAACTTTCTAAGTAACTACTCAGGCTAACGCCTTTTACTGTAATAATTGCTTCTTGAGTTAGCACTGTCCTGCAATGAAAGAAAGAAAATAAAGCTTATTGTTTCAGAAATGAAGCAGTATACTCCCATAAAGATGCAGACACACCCCACCTCTCCAACTTACTTTTCTGGGTTTTCAGGATGAGGCGTGTACACCAGTCTTTCATCAACTGACACCAAATTTGTGAGAGTAATCTTAAAAACAAAAACACACAAATCCACAATGTCTTCTCCACTTTGTTGTTTCTTCTATCAACAATTCAGCAGCACCATTATTCTTCATTGTTCTTAACAGCAGAAACAGGACAATTACTGTACTTTGTCAGCTACAATACCAAGCACGTCATCTTCTCTTGCAAACCAGTTGGTTTGTCAATAAGTCTAGACTACAAAGTTAGAAAAGATACACAAATTACGAACCGCAATTTGCGTATCTTTTTCTGCTTTTCTTCTGAAAGAGTCTTCTCCAACATTTGGCCTGCCTACAATGGGCCAAATGTCAGGAAAAGAGCCTTTTTTGGAACATTCCTTCTTCTTCATAGAATGAGGTTTACAAGGATGCAAACAGCCCCCCCCCGCCCCACACACACACACACACAAAACCCATCTGCTTTTCTGATTTTTTTTTCTTGGATGCAGCAGAGCTTTTCCAAGATACCTCCTGTATCCCGGAAAAAACTCTGCAGTCTAGACGTACCCCAAGTCTCTCTATATTTTCATGTTGTCCAACATGGTTCTGGTAGCTTTGACATTTATGAATGTTGGACATAGTCTGAACTTCAGCATGTTTGCTAGGGCAAGCTTTTTAATTCAGGCTTTTGAGGAAAATAAGCAGCCTTACCAAATCACACACAAAACCAGTACTCGGGAAAGTCCCTACAGTCTACATTTACAGTACAAAAGTAAAGACTCTTCCTGAGAACATAGATTTAAAACTTGACAGGCTTTAAAGATATTGGAATACAACAGTTACCAAATCATGCAAATTCAAAGGCTGTGTCTAGACTACATGCCTCTGTCGGCAGAGGCATGTAGATTAGGGTTGTAGGCAAAGGTAAATGAAGCCGCGATTTAAATGATCGCGGCTTCATTTACATTTACATGGCTGCCACGCTGAGCCGACAAACAGCTGATCAGCTGTTTGTCGGCTCAGCGCGGCAGCCATGTAAATGTAAATGAAGCCGCGATCATTTAAATCGCGGCTTCATTTACTGTTGCTGAATAAACAAATCTACATGCCTCTGCCGACAGAGGCATGTAGTGTAGACGTACCCAAAGAGATTAAAGATCTGCAATTTAGTTCACAGATTATTTCTGCTGCTTTTTAGTGAAATAATTTATTTGGCCAGTATGTTTCATTCTCTAAGATCTGGGTTTATTTCTGCTCTCAGAAAATGGTTTCACCTGATGTAAAAGATTACACCCACACAAATATTTCAACTGCCTACTCATGCAAAGCGGCAACTGAGAAAGGAAGTATTATTTAGAAAAATGGCAACCTAGAAAAGCTTCAAACCATCCAGTTCACATAGAAAATGCAGTCTTTGTTTGACAGCCATGAGTGCAAGCTTGTGTATTTCTAAAAGCAAAGCTTTCTTTTGTGTTACAAATAAGCATGCATTCTATTCCCCTACACCCATTAGCAAAAGCTTCCCAACCTCACTTACATTGGTGGAGCAGAGTTCCATTTTCTTTTCCACTGGATCTACCACTGAATGTTCTTTAATGTATGTCAGAGTCCTACTTGTTCCCAAAATCTAAAAGGCAATATTTAAATATTCAACATAACTTCAGAACAAATTACTAGAAGCTTTGTGTGTTCCAAATTACTACTTTTACAATTTTATATTGCAGCATTACATCAAGACCTCAATAAGCTCAGTGTTAGACAATCAAAGTCACACAGTCCCGGCCAGGAAGATACTAATTTGATTACCATTTCAGGAAACATTGCAATGCGTTCATGACAAGAGATGGGCTGCTGTGTTTTTACATCTTTCCTATAACTCTGAGTTTATAGGAAACACCTTTCCAGAAGTGAGACCCCATAAGATCAAAGTGTTTAAATGTATTACATAGTCAGTTACTCATTCAAACTCATAAAAACATACCGCTTTTACAATATTTGGTAGTCCCCACTCTGTGCTGAGAAGTCTGTGACTATGTAATCTTCCCTGGTTATCGAGGCTTCTGTCTAGCACATCTACTCCTACCACGCAAGGATTCATGGGATTAGGGTATTTTCTCATAGCAGCTTTGATAACTGTATCCCATGGGTGTCTAAGAAAAGAAGAGACAGTATCTATAACTATTTATGCATGCTATTAAAACCATTAATCTTAATTCAAACAAGTAGTGAATACTTATCTGGGATACTGGGTGAAGTATAGGTCACCTCACCTCAAAGAAAGAAACTGCTGAATTAAAGGGGGCCCCAGAATGTCACTTAAAATATAGTTGGGGCACAGAACTTCTACATGGAAAGATTACAAAGATCGATTCCCTTCTAGGTAAACAAATAAGGGGAGACAAAATAAAAATACATAAAATTAGGACAGTACAAAGAAGCTAGGAAAACCAGAAGCGCTTGGTCTGTCTTAAAAAAGATGACATTTAATGAAGTAAAAGATGGCAAAATTCAAAACAAATAGGAAACACTTTTCCATACAACATTTAAACAAACACTAGAACTCCCTACCAAAGTAGACAGAGGCTAAAAGAAATACTTGGGTAATGCTAATAAATTTTGGAAGCACTGTCTGGGTCTGGGAACATGGCATTGAGATTGACTGGCAGTGCCTCTGCGATCGACTGGTTGGTGACCACTGTTCCAGGGGTATAGAGATTAGTACTACCTTACCTTCAGCCCTTGCTATTCACACATGAAGAAGGCCTGCTACAACATTAGCTAAGTTACAGTGTCAGGAATACATTTCCCCTTCCCTTGCAGCATCCTCCTAACTAAACACCATATTCCATCACATCTTTATCAAGATTTAACAGTTTTGTGCCATCTAAACTAGCATGCCAACCACTGAAAGCCAAATACAACTGAGGTACACAGACTTGCTACTCACAACAGCTGTCTGCACTAGGATTTTCTCATTCACATCCCCACAACCCTCTGGGCCTAAGATTTTGTAAGTCAGCCATTACTTCAAGGAGCAAGGATTTAGCTCAAATCCAGCTGAACCAGCATTCTCTTAGGCATTTTCTGCACTCAAGTTTTCCATAATATTTCTACAGTTCTGCAGTGGGGACAAAAAGTTAGAGAATAAAAGTCAAGTGGAGACACCACACAGAAAGTGTTGCTATGTGGAGATGTTAAAACCCTTAAAGGCATTGCAATAGTCAGTTTTATACAGCTGACAACTGGTTTTGTTTAGCATAGTCAGCGCCACAGAGGCAAACGGAGGAATGTCATGTTTTGAAGGCTTGAAAATCAGTTTCTAAGTCCCCGTTTCCAAGGTCAGTGACAAAGTATCCTTGCAGACTCTAACTTTAGAAGTTACTCCTCTCTTTGATTCCAGAACTGATTTGATTTGTTTATTAATTCAAACTTAACCTCAATAGTATTTTGTCTATTTATTCAAATCTCTCCAATAAAAGTGTTATGAAGGGCAAGATATTGAGTCATTCTGATACACAAACATTAGATCAATAATAGAAAACACAGTTTTGAATATTACACTACAGCTTAACTCACTCATGCTAGGTTTCAGAACAAACACCAGAAGCCTGAAGAATAAAATGCCATTTTGCAACATCTCCAACATGAACAGAAAATACAGAGAGGTACACTTCAGGAATGTATTTTCTTTTAAAAAAATAAAGGATTCCTTCCTCTATTCCTAGACTTTGCTCCCTACTATAAAACATGCCAAAAATTAGCTGATGCATAATCCCTGAGATACTGTGATGGAACATGAACATAAAACTAAACAAAGGTGACTAACAAGGGCAAGAAGTCCTTGAAAACTTACAAGAAGTCAAAGGCCTAACTGATGAGACCAAGTTTTATCAATCTCCAAGCTAACTAGACACTCACACACATTGCAGTAGGGATGTGAACAACCAGTTGACTATCCAATAAGCAAATGCTTATCAGGAAGTTGACACAGTAGTCAACTAGTCCCACACACCCCCCGCCCCCTCGCTAGGCAGCAGGGGGGGTGGCAGCAGGAGGGAAGAGAAGAAGGTGCTCCAAAGGAGCAGAGCTGGGGACTCTTCTGCTGGCCCTGTGCTCCACACAGCACTTTCGCTTTTGAAGTGTAGTAACCAGATGTACACTAGTTTATCTGAAGTGAAAGTCAAGGTAACTAAACTAACACAAGCCCCTATACTAAAAGTTTCATAAATATTTTTAGATGGTTGCCTATATTATTCTAGCATCATCTATGCTAGCAACTAGGGATGTGAAGGACTAGTCAACTATCTGATAAGCATTTGCTGATCAGGTAGTTGACAGGCTAATCCCCCCCCCCCCCCACTGCCTCTATCAAATACACCAAACAAACAACCCCAAGAACACAGCAAGGTGGGGACTCCCCAGCTGACCCTAGGCTCTGTGTGGTGCTCCCACTTTGAAACACCGCAGGGGAGCCCAGCCTCAGGCTCCTCACAGCATTTCAAAGCTACAGCATCACATGGAGCACGGGGTCAGTGGAGGAGTCCCCAGCTGACCCCAAGCTCCACACAGCGCTTTCACCTAGGGCTGTTGCTACACTTCAAAGGCGGAGGCACCCTACCGATTAATCAAATAGTCGATTACCTGATACTTAACATTCTTACTAGCAACTGTCAAAGTCCTAGCATAGGAGGGAGTCCAATGATATTTTAAATATTCTGTGTATATCTACACTGCACTAAATACCTACAATTGGCCCATGTCAGCTGGCTCTGGTTCAGAGGTCTTGGGCTGCAGGGTTATAAAACTGCAGTGTAGACTCCTCCCCCCATGGGTCCCCAGCACCAAGGCCCTATCTCACATGCCTACACTGCATTTTTATAGCTCTGCAACCAAGCCAGTGTCAGCTGACAAGGGCTAACCATGGATTTTAACAGCAGTGTAGACATACCCTCTCCTCTGTCAATTAGGCATGTTCTGTGCCAACCTAGATGGCATGGTATTTTAAACCATATGTAATGCACCTATATTAAGGACTCCAAAGTTGCTAGCACTAGTAAATCAAGACTCGAGTTTGCAATATTGGGACATTTTTCAATCCCTCTTCAAAACCTAGCTTGTTTTTCACCACCCAGTTCTTCCACAGTTTCTTTTTCTCTTTTATTTCTCTGCTTTAGTCTAACAAAAAAAAAAAAAAAAAAAAAAAAACACACACAAACACACACACACACACACGCCAAACAAACAACTCCAAGAACACACGTAACTACAACTGTCATCTGTGAGTTCAGAGTCACATTCTGAATTTACTCTTACCTTCCCATCTCTTAGGCCAGGTCTTCACTACAGGGGAAGGTCGCCACTTTGGGGCAGAGAGCTGCTGGACACCAGCCCTCCTGGCCAGACAGTGGCAGGGGGGCCGGGGAGAGGGGGGGGGGGGGGGGGGGAAGGGTCATTGGAAAAAATGCTCGCATCAACTTCCCTTATTACTCATGAGGAATATCAGCATTCAGTTTAGCAGGTCTTTACTAGATCTGCTAAATCGCACACAGAAGATTGATCACCTCAGTATCCATCTTCCAGCAAGGGGAGATGTGGCCTCAGATTTATCCAAGCTAGACTATAGAGTCTTTGAGGGCAAGGACTGTATCATATTTCTGTACAGTGAGGCTATTATAACTTCACTGACTTTTTGTTTTAAAGTCAAGCTTGTATCTATCAATCTGTGAAATGCTGTTTTGAAATGTATAAGCCCACATCGCTGTGATTCCTAGCCTGTTATCTATAGGCATTTCCCAGTATGACATGCTAGTCACTGATACCCAGGCACTCCCATCCTTTAACTTTTCTACCAATGACACAAAACAAGAACTGTATGATACTAGTTTTCAAAAGTCAAACTTAACCTTTTTTGCATTTAAATGGTTCACTTTATGAAGAACAACATGAAATATAACAAAGTTAGTTATTCACTTTGAATGTTAGCCAACTTTTGAAGATATTACATGGCTTAAGATACATTATCCTTTCAAAGGGAAAGACATACACAAAGTATTACAATAACTTAGTTTTATCTAAAAAAACCCAACAAATGGTCTGATAGCACTTTATAGACTAACAAAACATGCAGATGGTATCATGAGCTTTTGTGGGCACAGCCCACTTCTTCAAATGACCGGAAAGCTCATGATACCAGCTACATGTTTTGTTAGTCTATAAAGTGCTACCAGACCATTTGTTGTTTTTTTCCTGTAACAGACTAACTCAGCTACCCCCTGAAGCTTAGTTTTAATCTGTTCATACCCAGGGCTGGCCCTACCATGGGGCAAACTGAAGCGTTACCTCAGGTGCCAGACTTGGGGGGGGAGGGGGGGGGCTACTGGGACCCAGAGTGTAGAAAATTGTGTCTGCTGCTGGTGCATATGTAGGTAGCAGAGCAGTACTATGAAAGGAGTAGAACAGGAAGAAGGCAGAATTGAGACCTTTCAAAGTTTTGGCCCAAGCGAGGGGGGATAGGGGCATCATTTGAGCTCCCCGCCTCAGGCGCCAAAATGTTGTGGGCGGTCCCTGTTCATACCTTTTAGAAGAATCAACTACATCTGACTTTGCTCTAATGTTGTGAAAGGTCATTTATGAATGCCTATGCCTTAATGACAAATAGCATAGTAGTTTCAAAACTCTGCCCTTTTGGAGTCTCACTTCCTGCGTACTGTGGTAAACAGAAGACAGATGTGGAAACCTTGCATACTGCTTTCAGCCCTGTACTGTACATAAACCAAGTAGTTATACCAGCAGAACTTCCAGGTGGCCCCTCTAATTCAAAGAGCTTCTTTGTTGGTAGTTTAAACTAAGATGAAAAAGCCACTCTCTTTTACAGACAAGGGGGTCACACTAGCATAACTAGTAAAACTTCCCCATTAGAGGATCATTTCCCCACAAATCTCCATACTGCACTGCCACCAACTGCATCCCCTTTGAATAGCAAGAGGCATTCCTCATTCAGTGTGACTTGCACACAAAAGAGTTAGAACTTTAAATATAGCAGATCCCACAAATGTGAGAGTTTCTTAGAAAGAGCTACGTAAACCATGACATTTCCTGCAACCTACACCATGAAGCGAGAGCGCTGCAGCACAGGCTAATAAGCCAAGAGAAGGGTGCCAAAATAACTGTAGGTCACAGTTTGCACTTTCCCCTCTATAGGTCTGCGTGGCGCCGCGTACACAGAACTGTCACCTGGTTGCAGCGCTGAGCCGCGGGGTGACCTCGGATGAGTCACTCCCTGCCTCAGTTTCCCCAGCGGTGAGCTAAGGGTCATGGCACTTCCTGGCCCATGGGCGACAGGCGCTGGTGGGACTATCACAGCGCCGGGGCGGCGATCACCCCGGCGTCAGGGAGCCCCGGCTCACAGAGCGAGGCCCGGGAGCCCCCGGGGGCTCACACAGGCATGTGGCTCGGTAAAGGCAGCGACGCCGCTCGGGGCCGGCCCGCTGGGGTCACCGTCCCGCCTGGAAGCACAGGCCCCGCGCCCGCTCACCCGAACACGTGCTCCGAGCTCCAGATCTTCATGGCTCCGCTATCGGACCAAGAGCGGGCTCCAATGGCGACCGGCGGCGCTGGCGCTGCGCTAGACTCCGGGCAACAGGCATGTGGCTCGGTAAAGGCAGCGACGCCGCTCGGGGCCGGCCCGCTGGGGTCACCGTCCCGCCTGGAAGCACAGGCCCCGCGCCCGCTCACCCGAACACGTGCTCCGAGCTCCAGATCTTCATGGCTCCGCTATCGGACCAAGAGCGGGCTCCAATGGCGACCGGCGGCGCTGGCGCTGCGCTAGACTCCGGGCAAAGAAAGAACCGGCTCAGAGGGGGCGGGGCCATGACGCAGGCAGGGGGCGGAGCGCCACGAGCCGGGAACAGTCTGTACCAGGCACG